GAAACTTCTTTCTTTCGCTTTTTCCCCGTCCCCCGTCCACCGTGGCCCGCTCCACCCTCGTAAAACGTTTCTCGCGATCGTCCCGCGAAACAGATTCTCCGGAGACGCGAGTCCTTTTTGCCCGACCGCCGCTACGCGCCGCGACACATTTTTTTTTCTCTCGTTTGTCGCACACCGCACGTGGATCGTCGCGTGCGCCTGCACCCAGCGGAGAGAGAGAGAGAGAGAGTGCCACCCCGAAATCTCCGAGGTTCGCGCGTGACCGGGTCGAAGCGTTTCCGTTCCTTCGCACCGTCTTCCGCGGAGTTCCCCCGGTGCAAACAAATAAGAGCGGTATCGCGAGGCTCCCGTAATGCGATCTAATCCTCGCGGCTTACAGGAAAGAACGGAAGCGGGTTTCGGCGTCACCTCTTTTCGCCTGGACTCAGTCGTGGGTAGCTAAATTGCTTGTAGCTCCGTAACTGGGTACCTGGCTAGCAAGCTAGCAAGCCAGCTAGGTAGTTAGGTAGCTAGATAACTAGGTAGCTAGGTCGCTAAATGGCTAGGTAGCTAAATATCTAGGTAACTAGGTGGTAGCTAAATAGCTAGGTAGCTAGATATCCAACCAGAGGACTTGTCCAACGCAACCGAGTCGATCGGGTGAAAGGATAGATCGCCGAGACGGCAAGCTACGTCGACGCACCACCGCGAACAGCCGCGTCGACAGGGAAACGATAGGCGCGGTTACACGGATAGCGAAAGAAACGCGGAACTCGGCGGCCGGGTTCGATTTAATTAAGCCGCCGACGGATCCAGCGATGCCCGGTGCCTTAATTTATTCATCCTCCGCGGCACGCCGTCCCGCGGATGTTCGAGCAAATGTATTCCAGTCGAACGAGACGTCCCGTCCCAAAAATTTATCGCCGCTGACGGAACCGAGCGTGTGCTCTCCGAACGAGACCGCCGCGCGTTCCGATCCATATTTATGACGTAATGAATATTTGCTCGCTTTTGTATCGATGCCCGTCCCGTTCCGTCCCTGCCTCGGCGATATTTCCCAGGGAATCATTCTTCGGCCCCGCCGAAGATTTCCGCCCGCATAAATCCCCCGGCGCGACGGGTACGCGCCGCGCGAACGCGCCGAGCGACACCGTCTTCGAATTAGCATGCATCTATGCATGCATGCGACGCAGCTTCCGCGTTAATAATTCAGCCGCGCGACTTTTCGCGGGATCAAAGGGCTCGCCGAGATTTCGCGGCTCGTCGGTCGTCCGTCCCGCGGAAGGTTCCGCGCGCGCCGATGCCGGCCGCCGACTCGACGAGCCGCCGAAGTCGGCTGGAACTGTCTCGAGCCGTGCCCCGGGAACGGGAAACTTTTCGGGGGGAGGTCGGGAAAATTTCGCGCTCCGTCGCTTTCCGTTATCTGTCCGACTGCCGGCTCCCGCAGTCCCAGGGGCCGCGTTCCGGGCCCTCCGAGCGAGCGCTCGACGCGAAGTTCGCGATTATCGCGGGACCGCGCGCCTCCCCGTGACTCGAGCGTCGAGTTCGACGGACGCTCGGATTACGCCTGGCCCCGCTCACCGGCGGGGAACACACCTTCCCGTCCGCTTTCAGCGTTCCCCGGAACGCACGCTTCGTTGCCCTTGCACCGTGAAATCCGAAGATCTTTTGTTCGCCGGTCGAACGCCTGCACCGACAGTCGCTGATCCCTCCGCTTCGGAGTCGTAAAACGTAAAGTCGCAGCGCGGCTGCTGCCATCCCCAGCTACGGCGAAGTGGGGTTCGAGTACGAGTGATTCCCTTTAAGCGTGTGTTTCTTCGAGAAATAAGGCTGCCGCTCGGAAGGGAGGCGGAGTCGCATAATAGAAAATAACGAGATACGATGCATCGTTGGCTCAGGCGGCTTGACACCTGATCCCCATTCTCGGGGGACACAATGCGCGCTGTTAACCAGCCGTAGGAAGCCCGACTTTTGTCTGGATCGCGATAGCGCGAGCGCCACCCTCGCCGTTCCTAAATAATACCGAACGCGTGGCTTACATTCATTGTGCGACGCAGCCGTTCCCTCTCGCGGGGACGCGTTCCGACGATTTATCACGCGGACCGCGCGACCCGGAGGAGTCGCGGACGCGCGGAAATCACGCGCGCCGGGAGCCGCGTTCCACTCCGGGGCGACGATTTTTCGTGCCGTCCGGTTATCGAGCCTCCCTAACGAACGCACCGGCCCGACGGATCCTTCGCCACCCCTAAATAACGAGCGGATGCACCGTTCAAAGTGGTATCTAACGGCGCGCAGAGGAACCTCGTAAAAACCGTTGCGTTCATGCATATGCAACGGCCGCGGAATTTATGCGGACGTTCGCGTCCCGTATCTTTATTCAGATTCGGACTGTATCTTTTATTTTCCGTTCGCCGAGGGGTCGGGGGGAAATATAAACGAATCGCGACGTAACGAGCGCGAAATACGAGGGGTCGATAAGGGACCGGGGGAAAAGTACGATCCGGCCGCCGGAAAAAAGCAGAACCGACGTGCCAACCGCGCGGGATTATTAACCCCTTGCCGCGCGGAATCGCGTCGGGCTCGCGATGACAATTTTCGAGCGTACGAGACGAATCGTCGCGTTACTTGCTCTTTCCCGATATAAATTACTCGTCTCTTTACATTATCAACCCCTTGACGTACTATTTACTTTCGTCACTAAACTCGTGTAGTATTTTACTATCGACAATTTGTAAGAAATATAAAATTTTCCATTCGACTTCAGGTGGAAATTTCATTTGAAGATGATACATTGATAATAGCAAAATAACTTGCTTTGATCCGTGGGTAATGAAAAACATTGATGTTAAATTAGTTTAGAGATCTTCATCACGAGCCTTACTCGTCATGGTACGGCAAGGGGTTAATAATAGCAAAACTAAAATGCAAATCAGCTGAAATCTCAATGAACGCTTATGGTTTCTACAAAGAAATTTGTAAAAGTCAGTTCAAGTGGTCGGTAGTTCTAGTGTTAAGAGCCTTCGTGGAGAGATGTTCGTTAGATCTTAGGCTTGAATCGAAATAAATCAGGTTCGACTTAGTTTGAGGAACGTGTTAGTTTCACGCATACTGAGTTCGATGAGAATCAATCGGGGAATCTTCACGTCGAGATAGTTTGATCCGTAGGTAATGAAAAACATTGATTGTTAAATTAGTTTAGAGATCTTCATCGAGTCTCATTCGTCATCGTACGGCAAGAGGTTAACAAGGTAAACATAGACATAACCATCAAATCCTTTTCTCAAAGAAATTCACGATGAAGCAAGTATCGAGCAAAGAAATCACCGATGTTCAACCCGATCGGTTCACGCGCGATTATTAAACGCCGCTTACCGAGAGCGTGCTCGTCCGGATCCGGATGGACGTCTTGGGATCTGTAACAAGAAGAAACAACAGTTAGCTTCGAGGGGGTAGCAGGAGGGAGCTGGACCGACGGCGACGCTGGAAGTTTCGCAATTTACAGCCGGGAAAATTCCCGTAAGAGCGATCGCGTGACCAAAACGGAGGCGGTCCGGGCTGGGGCGGGGAGGCGGCACGCTCGCGGAGACGTGGCCACGGGTTTCGTGGCGGCGCGAACGTGAAAAGAGAGCTGGAGACCGTGCGCGGCGCGGGGGAAGCGGAAGGGAAAAACTGAAACTGCGCGGCGAAAGTCACCCGACACTCCCCGGGGACTTCGGAAATCCTATTGTATCCGGGTTTAATCGGGGAGCGGCGACGTCGGGACATCTTCCTCCTCCAATCGGAAGGAGATAATAGCGGAGAGGGGATCGAGCGGTCTCGTAATCGACGTCGCGAGATAACCGACGGGGCGGAATTCCTTGCGAAAGATTCCTTCCTCCCGAGGCACGCGGGACCATCGAAATTTCCCTGCTGCGGTTCCAGTTAACGTCCGGACCGCCTCGATCCCGCTTTCCTCGGAGACACACGGCCGATCGGCGAACCCGAACGTGCCGAGACTGACCGGCTCGTTGGTTTACGAG